CTCAACTTCTGCTTTCATTAGGAGAATGTCGGTCAGCGAGTTACCCATTTTTTTCATTAGGAGAATAAGAAATGAATCTGACCATTCCCTTGGAAAGTCTTTTTATTAAATACATGATCTTTCACTTTCTTGAACATTTATCTTCATGATATTTCAGGAAGCTTAATTTGCAAGTGTTGGACTTTTTTCAAGGTGTTCATTAGCTGAATTTCAAATTTGTGGTTATAATTTCATATATTTGGTAAGATAATATCATTAATGATAAATCTAACTTCAGAGATTTCAGATTGTGAGGCTTGATTATTTGAAAGTGATCAAATTATCTTTTGTAAAATTTTTGTAGAAAAAAAAAACTTTATTATACAAAAAATCATGTGATTAAAAAATTAAATGATAATTATAAAAAAAAGAATAATGTCATAAAAAAATGATCAAGTGATTTAGAAAAGGGATGGTAAGGTGATTTAAAAGAAGATTAAAAAAAAGAAAGTAAAAATCTATTATGTGAAGAGAAAGCCAGAGAAAAAAAAAAAGAGAAGACAAGCAAAGGAACTAAAAAAAAAGAGTGGGTGTATATATATATGGTTAAAAAGAGAGTATGTGTATACCTGTATGTACTCTAGTATATATATCTTTTTTAAAAAATAATAATAAAAATATATATAATTTAAATAATTATTATTTTTAAATATTAATAAAAACAACAACAACAACAACAATAATAATAATAATAAATAAAATACTAAATTAATATGCAACAGCGCAGAACTTAAAAGAAAATAAATTATAAATCAAGTGCGGAAGCGAAATAATAGTGTTATGGTTTACATTCCTTACACAATAATTCAGATTACCCAATAGGGTTAAAGGAATGACCATTTTAAAAGAAATAACGAAAAATTAAAGAAATAACTGGAAAGTAAACAACTGGGTATCCTATTCGCAACCCTCTTGTGGATCAGGTTCTAGGTCTTGGTCCTCTTGATCTGAAATGGTTAGTGAAAGAGTGAGTTACACTATCTTAATAAGAATGTCACACTACTCACCGACACAAAAATAAAGGTTGGTAAAAATTATAAAAACTACTAATGGAGCTCTTAATTTAAGTAAATTCATTTATCATAAATAAAATTATTTCCTGCATACTTACCGTAGTGAGATTTCTAAAACCGACCTATAGAGGCAATAACATAAATAATATCATAATCTCATATTCAGTCAATCGGAACAACAACTTTCTCATTTATCAGCCTACTAGTATCTATGGGGGTTCATAGGGATGTCTCTGCTATGCGTGAACTTTTATTCAACATTTTCAAACTAACAGGTCGTCCTCATACCTCGTCCGATATGAGCACCAAAAGATATCATCCCTCAATACTTCGTCCGGTATGAGGGTGAAACAGGCCGTCCCCATACCCCGTCTGGCATGAACATCAAAATATAAATCCTCGATACCCCGTCCGGTATGAGATAACATTCACGGTAGGGTTCCCTATATATTCAGTCCATCCACCATTTTCCAAGATATTCAATAAGGCTACTATTCATCTATTCATTTAATCAAACAATTTTTCGTTTAAATTTAATTTTTAGTTTCCCAATTAACTGTAAATTACGTAAAACAAGTAATACATGCATCAAGAAAATACAATCGAATTATCATACCAATTCTAGTGTATTATCATGCAATCGAAACTGTAAAATTATCAATCAGTTAAACATTACAAATAGTAATAAATAGCAAATTCCAGCTCTCTTAATAACCTTTAATTATCGATATTTCTAAATTACACAAAATACCATATTATTTATAATTAGATTTTAATTCCATAACAGGGAATAAAGTGAGGAATTATTATTTGAATTGATGTCCGAAACACTAAAATTTCAACTGCACCTACTATCGGTCCCCGGGTTCCCTGAATTTTTCTTCATGGATTAAAACACGTTTTAAGTACATAAAATATTATAAAAAAAATCAGGGCTAGAAATCTTTTTTGGCCAATTTCGGGATTCTGGCACGGCGGGGTCGCTGTGCTCCAACAATGGCACCGCCGCCTGCAGCAGAGGTTTGCCTCAGATTGGCCATTTTCGGCCGATTTTGTACTCCTCCCTGCGAGAAACATGTTAAAAGGCCTCAGTTGGCCGAGAAAAGTCAAAAAACAGAGGCTTACCGACGGTAGATTTTTCAGTACGGTGGCTCCGCCGGCTCATCTTCGCGGTTGGGTGTTTTACTTTGGTTAACCTGTAGAAAAAGAAATGGTAATTATAATGGTGGAAAAATTACACGAAACAGGAATCGGGAAGGGTCTCATCGGAAGCGATTTTTTATTTTTTCCATAGCAATGTCGCCGGGCATTACTCGTAATTTTCGGCTCTTCCACAGGTTCTTTTGCTCCGATTTGACCATGGGGGTGTTAAAAATCAAATTTTAAGACAAATTTTTTTTTTACCTCTTTTGGCGGTCGGAGGTGGCTCCGGCACGGCGGTGGGAGGCGGTCGGCTCCCTTCCCGGCAATTGGTTCTTCTTCTCTGGCAGGAGAATATGGTGACTAGAGTTAAGGTTTGATGTGAAGTGGGCTATTTATATCCGTCTCTTTTTAATCTAGACTGTCCATCGCATTTGATTTGAACCGTCCGATTACGTTTAAATAAGGAGTGAATCTGTACCATTCATCGTGATTTGATCTGAACCGTACGATCGCGTTTTAAAGGGGAGAACGGATCTGGACCGTCCACACGCGTGAAAATAAATCTGAACCATCCGATCGCGGTTATGCGGATTCCCAGCGTGGCATTCCGCATGCCACCACGCCAGCTTGCCTCACCAAGCAGCATGCTCCGATTCGTCGGGGCTACTGACTAGGCGTCTTACGTGGCACATTTTTTTTAGTTTGCGTTTAACCCTCAGTTTCTAATTTTTTTTTTCAAAAACAGCCCCAGAATCTAAAATTTTACCATTTTTTTTCAAATTTTTTTTCAATTTCATCATGCACATATTTTTCTTAATTTTTACATCAAATAAAAATTTATAAATTAAAAAATAAATTTTCATATATTAATTTTAAATTTTTTAAAAATTAATTAAGGGTATTACATGATCTTTGAAATTTAACAGTTATTTCAATTCGGTCCCAAATGTTTCCTTATTACAGTTTAGTTCTTAATTTTTTATTTACTTTAACACTCAATTTCTTATTATTTCCTACAAAAAAAATTCTCCCTACCTGCTCGAAATTTGATTCCGAGCACCCTTGTGGCCAAATTAGAGGGAGAGGGATGGCGGGTGTGCCAAAAAGTGCGGATAAAGCCCAGTGAAGCCGCCGATGCCAAAACCCCAAAATTCCTCCGATGAACCCCTTCTCGATTCCCATTTTACGTGATTTTTTTATCATTGCGTTCACTGTCATTTTTTTATGCAAGTTAGCCGAAGAAGGAACCCCAGCAACGAAGGAGGATCGGCGGAGCTGTCGCACCCGGTGACCCCCGCCGGTAAGTTCGGTGTTTTTGGTAATTTTTCAACCAATCGAGACTCCCTAACGTATTTTTTCGCAAAGAAAATTTAGGAAATCTGATATCGGTTAGGAGGTGTGGTAGATAAT